CTGTCATTGAGTAACGTATATTTGATTTACTGTGTTAATTAACTTAGGAATAAGTTATTCTTCTCGGATGTTCTGCCGCAAGTTGCAACCGATTATAAGTTGAAAATGATGACATGAAAGATGCACGCAGTCAAGTAATGCATCTGAGTATCACTCAGATCATGCCGGCAAAATAGAATTATTTGAAACTGGTTCCCGATGCCAAATAACTGATTTCTTAAAAAAAAAAAAAAAAAAAAAAAAAAAAAAGAAAGAAAGAAAGAAAGAGGGACAGTACAAAGCAAAAATATCCTAGATTCAGTAAGCTTGGCGCAGGAAAATGCAGACTCAAATTCTGAAATGATCCTAGAGTTTTCATCAGACGTTTTAACGTTAGTATATTAATATTTATTAAAACCATGAAAGGGAAGTGGTCTTTCACTTACCAAATATTTTAAGAGAATTAGCAACAACTGCATAAGTTAGCATTTCTCAACCGGTGGTGGGCAAGAGAAAAATAGGTGGTACGCTAAGAAGCAAAGTATTTTTAAAATATCGTGAAGAAAAGAACAATTGATAGAAATTTCCTGTGATCAAAGTCTAACTGAAGATTTCAAAAATAACACACTTGTTAAATTTTAATTTAACCCAAGAAAGAATTTAAATGCATTTCAAATAAAGCTATTAAATTTTTATTACCTTTTTCCACGACCTATTTGCTTGACCAAAGATTTTTTTCCATGTTTTATTTGAAAAATAAAAACAGAAAAAAATTAGAAGTAGATCCTATGTTAAGCTAAATTTAAGGTTATAGCTAAATGAAATAAGAATAGAAATAAGGAAATTGATCTCTCTTAAACAGGCCCAAATTTCTCACTAAATTTTAAAATTAAAGTACTGTAGCTTAAATTTTGATAATTAAAATGGTAACCAATTTTTAATCTAATACTTTTAATGTGTACATATTTAATACAAATAGCCAATAGGTTGTGAAAATGGAAAATATATATATATTTTGTAATATTTCTATTGAGAAATTGAAAAATAATCATTGCAAAATGTAGTAGTGGTACATAAGTTTTTCAGTTTTTGTTTAGATGGTACGCGTCAATCAAAAGATTGAGAACCGCTGGCATAAGGGATGAAATAAGGATAAAAACAGAAAAATTAATTTTATTTCTAACCTTCTTCGGAAGAACAATCAACGAGGTTTTGTTCACTGAGGGATACAAGTTTTCCCGTCTTTTTTTTATGTTGCCCTTCTAAAGATCCAGTTGCTGAAAATGCCCAGCAAGAGCCACATGGTCCCTGTAAAGCGAATTTCATTACATTATGACTAATTATAGCAAGTTAAAATTAATTTTCATTTAAAAAATTTTCATTTTAACCCATTCCCTGCCATGATCCCCATATGGGGATCGCCTACAATTGCATACATTGTGACGTCATGCTGCACCTGGGTGGTCCCTTACGGGTAGTCACGCTTTCCTGGAGATTGCAACTAAGGGTAGAAATCTTAAACAAACACGTGGACTCAGTTAGTTAAGATCAAGAGTTTATTTTTCTTGCTCTCTGGTTACTTTCCACGAGAAAAATAATACGGTTATTTTCAAAGCACAAAAAAGTTACTTAGGAACAAGTATTTTTGTTATACTGAATTTCCCTTGATCATTGGTAAGTAATTAATGTATTTATATATTATTTATCCTCATACTGTAATTTGGATGGGTACAATGAACCTAGATATATCGATCTCCATTTGGGGATCATGGCTGATACTGACTAAAATTGTAAAAAAAAAACTGTTTTTCTTTTTTTCCAGGAAATGTCGCGTAAAAGATATCTTTCTTTAAAAGAAATAGAAGAAATTGTAAATTCTGATGATTTTTTTTTGCATCTGACGATGACGACGATAATAGCCCCATAGATATTGTTGAAATTCCACCAGAGCGGGTTGATGAGATTTCAGATAATGAGGACATGGATGACAACGTAATTGATGATGAAGAACCACTTGATGTTCCCGGGTGTGTTGAAATTCACCGTGTGGCAGGATTTGAGGAAAATGTTTTAGTGAATGCAACTGAATCTTCAGCAAATGAAGTAACAAAAGGTACCGGCTTACCACCTGCTAAAAAGAGAAAAGAAGTATTGACTTCCAATTGGAAAAAGAAGCAACCTAAGTACTCGAAACTATATGAAAATTCTGACATTAGAGAGAGAAGGCGAAATGATGTCATTAGAAAACTCAGGGGGAAAATCCCCGGTAGAGTGTTTTGAAATACGTTTTGATAATGAAACTGTCACCTATATTGTCCAGCAGTCTGTAATATACGCCAGACAGAAAAACAATCATCAATTTCAGCTTTCTAATAACTGCCTAAAAAATTTATTGGAATACTTCTTTTCACTGGCTATCATTCACTTTCGCAAGAACAATTATATTGGTGTGAAGATGAAGACATGAACATTCTGTGTGTTAGAGCATGCATGAGTCGGAATAGGTATCTGGAAATTAAACGGTACCTACATATCAGTGACAACTCCGATTTAGAAAGGATTCCACTAGGTGAACGTGATAACCTCTTCAAGATTCGCCCATTGATTGACAAGCTGAATGACAAATTTCAACAATTTGGGGTGTTTTTTCTGAAAGTTTGAGCATTGACGAACAAATGGTTCGTTACTATGGACATCACTACCTCAAACAATTTATACGTGGTAAGCCAGTGCGGTTTGGGTTCAAACAATGGGTTATCTGTTGTTCACAGACTAGATATTGTTATCAGACTCAAGTGTATGAAAGCAAATCAAAGAAATTAGGAGATGATGAAAGCATCAGGGGGCTTGGGACATCTGTTGTCCTTCAGATGGTATCTATTCTTCAGACACCAAATGCTCATAAAGATTAGACAATTTTTTCACATGATTTTCTCTGATGAAACATTTGCAGGACATTGACGTTAGAGCAACAGGAACTGTTCGATTCAACACAATGAACAAATGCCCTATTGCAACAGACAAAGATATAAGGAAAAACGAACGCGGGGCATATGACTACAGATTTGATTCCCGTAAATGAAATTTTAGCTGTTACGTGGAATGACAACAGTTGTGTAAGGATTCTGTCTAATCATGAAACTATCGATATCAGAGGTGAAGCACTACTCAGTATCAGAGGTGAAGCTATGGAGTAGCACAGAGAAGAAAGATATTCGAGTACCACAACCCAAACTGATATCAGAATATAACAAATACATGGGTGGAGTAGACAAGATGGACTGGAATGTTCAAAAGTACAGAATCAGAATAAGGGGAAAAATGGTATTTTCCTGTGCTTACTAATGCCATCGACGTAACACTGGTTAACGCCCACACACTGTATTGTATTTCAAATGATAAAATTACATTGTTAGATTTTAGGAGGATGGTTGCTAGAGGATATCTTGCTTTATCTTCAGAACTCTCTGATGCATAAAAGGGTGGAAAGAATTCTTTCACTAAAGCATCAATTAATCGTGTTCCTACTGTTATCAGAACATCTGGTAATCATTATATTGAACGGACCGAAAATGGTAAACAAAGAAAATGTGCAGTGTGCAAAACAAATGCAAGAAAACAATGTGGAAAATGTAATGTTGGATTACACGTAGACTATTTTGAACGCTGGCATTAAAAGTAGATAGTATCAGCCATGATCCCCATTTGAGGATCGGACTTAAATTTGAAATTTCTGGAAAACAAATTGATGCATTTATGAAAAAAACATGTTTTTCTTATTATTTAGATGTAAACTAACAGAAATAAAATAAAAATTGATGAAATAAAAATTTTGCAGTTAATGGGTTAACAATGCAGTATTTAAATAGAATAAAAGTACTTCAAAGTATAATTTTAGATCAAATGTAACAAAATCTCTGATAATTTTGCGAAAAACTGTCTCAAGGTGTAAAAAAGAACATATCTAATTGTTTCCTCAGTTTATGCTTTCAAGTAAAAATTCGAAGATTCGGCCGTTCTCCACATTTTTTATAAATAAATAAATAAATAAAGGTAAAGTTTTCCATCGGCACTGGTGCCGAATAATTATAAAATAGTTCTCTAGGAGTCCAGGATTCCGAAGAAATCAACGAAAGCAGCTGCCGGATGACTTAGTTTATCAAAATTTGAACTTCATGCAATTAAAGGAGTTAATACTGAGATTACTAAAAGCAAGCTAAGTAACTTCTTCTTTACTTTATGAACATTTTGGTTTGAGCTATGAATATACGCAATCATAAAAAGTTTCTCAAAAATTTGCATAGTATAAGATGAAACATTCTGAAACTAGCTGGAAAAGAAACATAAGCAAATATGCAACCTTAGATTGGCGTAGATTTTAAATAGACTATATCAATTTCAAGGGAGATCTTAGTTCCTCTTTTTCATGAAAAATGTTTCCTCTTTCCAGGAACTTTTGTCTTTTGAAAAATGAAAAAATTATATTATGAAGCGTTTTCGTTCCTGAATCTAAACAAATATCCATTCACATAGGTGTTCATAATATTGAAAAATGAGTATATGATTTGGCAGCTGCAGTCGCTTCTGTTTACGCATACATATCTGCATGAACTTCCTCTTTCAGCGTTGATATCGCTTTCAGCTTATGAACGAGAATAAAAGTAAATTTAAATTTTAAATATATTATTTTATGTAAGTGTAACAAAGATAATCAAAGCTATAGTAGAAACGGTTTATTCAGATTAACTGGGTTGGAATAATTTTCAACAATGATTTTTTTTTTTATTTCTTTTCTCATTTTTTTAAGGGGAGCAGATAAACAGGACTTTTTTAAATAGAAAAAGATAAATGAAATTTTCGACATCATTTCTGTATTATTGTATTTTCGACAATAGGTTTGTTCTTAAGTATGTTTACAATAGAATAAACTTGAAAATGCCTTTTTAAACATACTTTTTTATTCACAAAAAGAGCATAGTATGCTTTTGTAGTTTAAAAAAATTAATTTACGTGACAGATTTCAGAAGCAGCATTCGTTGATTTCCTGCCGTAATTCATGTTTTTCACAGAACTGAAAATTTTCATTTTCGATGTACTTTATTGGCGAGATTTTCTTAGTGCTTATTCAAATCTTCTATATTCCTTTTTTGGTAATTCATTCATTTCAACATTAGAAATCATCACTAAAAATCCTCTAGCACAGTACAAAATTGATTGGTATAATCCATCTGTGGATTTAGGTACATAAAGATAGCTTCAAAGGACAAATCTCAAAGCTCATTATTACTGTGTCTAAATACAATAGATTACTTCTTTTCTTAAAAAAGTACGTTTACGTCTTAACAATAAGACAATAAAAAACACGTGCTAAAACATCTGTTGAAAGTGGTTGTTTTCGGGCTTAATAACTGAGTCTGAGGCTCAGTTTGCTTTACCATTTGGCTAAATGATAATTCATTTAAAGAGATTTTACTGTATATAGGTGACCATTTTTAGCACTAGACTTATCACTTTTTATAAATTTTTAGTGATCTAGTAAATTGACGATTTCAGTATTATTTCTTCCGTGTAATAACAATGCAAATTACGGAAAATAACTTCCCTCGTGAATTTATACTTCAACTTGAGTTCAGTAGAAGATTGTATTGAACAAGCTAAACAGGTTTCGACTGCACTGTAAAATCGATTAATTAAAGCACATTGTTTCTTACTATTATTCACTCTCCCAAAGATAGTAAATCTAAACTTGGGCTAGTACTTTTGATTGAATACCCTCTGCCTTTTCGATTTTCATCACTAGGAAATAAAAGAAAAATTATCATGAAATATTTGATAAAATTAAAATTTTCTACAAATAACTTTGACTGAAGCAAAAAATTAATTCATGTAAAACAATTCTTTTCTTAGATGTAAAAAATGCATAAACAATGTAGGTAGACACTCTTCTGAAATTAGTTTAAAGCAGAATATAGTTCTGCAAAGAGGGATTAAAACACTGGTAAAATATTTGTCGATCTGTAGCTAATAAATTTCCGAAATGCTGTATAAAAACTCTACAGCAAAAATGATCGTATAAGTGCTATTAAATCTCAGAGGTGGTGGTGTTTTTATTTTGATAAGAAAATACCTCTGGTCAAATTATGCTGCCAATTTAAAAATATAAAATCAAATTCTGAAATATGGAAATTAAAGTGTATTTAAATTTCACTTGCTTCGTATTTCTTAAATGTTATTTGGCTTTAAAGCTTTTTATAGATAATTTTATATATTGTGCATTAAATAAAAGAAGAAGCATTAAATTAAAGTAAAGAATTTGCGGAATAAAATTTTCTAAATAAAAAATTTTGTAGGATAACAAAATTTTTATATTTAGTCTGATGTAGAATTATTAGTTAAAGCTACACAACGCCTCTCTCATTCATTATCAGGAAACTGAAGGAACATTTCAGACAACGAAAATGACTAAGAATAAATTGAGAAATCAACTAAAATACTCCTAAAGTATTAGAACAATGTACAAAATAAGAACTCCTCAAGTAACGGATTTTACCATTTCATAAAAGTTAATTAATTTAGCAAATCTGCTAAGAATAATGTGAAATATATTCACTGGTATGTGTAACAAGAATATTAAATAAAATATATCTATATGTCAGTTGCCTAATAAATAACTCAAAAATTTATATGTAAACCGGAAAATTAAATAAATAAGGGTTAAATTTCGTAGATATCTACAGTGACGCAAGTTTTGACATTTTCTCTTTTCGTAGTTGTCGAACGCTTGCTAAGTTAGAAATGTTACATTGAGCATATGCAAAACAATAAAAATAGTAATATCGTAAAATATTCTAAAGAGAGTGAAACAAAATAATTGGCAAAATTAGCACGTTTTATTTTTAGATCTATTATCTTGCGCCAATTTAGTACAAAATATTTTTACTGGGTATGACTGGCTCACCTTGAATGTATAATTTATAATCAAAGGAATCAAAATTTTATGATTATAGCAGACTTTTTAACACATGTTTTTGCTAAAATATGCCTGCGAACATACGTTAAAATATATAAATCATGCATATAAAACAAATACTCTTTTTATCATTAAAAATGGCTTGTTCTTTCAAGAGGTTGAAAGTTTTATTGATGTAAAAGTGAAGTATTAGGATATCGTTGCTCTAGACAGGACAGGACAGGAACAAGTACAGGGGGCACCACGCCATCGCCATTGACAAAAATGGTATAGCCCCCATACACTACCTCTCTAGCGTACCGCCCCTTCCACAGGGGACCTGATTACGGTATACATAGGACATAGTACTAACAACAAATAAGACATAGAACATCATACTGTTACAACATACTTCGACACATAGGACATAGCATTAACATATGGTTACAGATTATTTACATTATTACAGTGCAAGAATTTATTATTATAAATTATTTACAGTGCAAGAATTATTTACAGTGCAAGAAGTTATGTTCATTATAGATCTTGTTGGTTTTGGCACCGCCCTTTCCACAGGGGACCTGATTGCAGTAAACAGAGGACATAGCACTAACAACGTATAGGACATAGCGCAACATACTGTTACAAAATACTTCAACACATAGGACATAGCATTATCATACTATTACAGATTATTTACAATGCAAGAAGTTATGTTCATAGGACATAGCATTATCATATTATTACAGATTATTTACAATGCAAGAAGTTATGTTCATACGACATAGCATTATCATACTATTACAGGTTATTTACAATGCAAGAGGTTATGTTCATTATAGAGCTTGTTGGTTTTGGCATAGCATATGCTTTATCATACCTTAGTTTGTCCAGAAGAGAAAAACACTGACTAACAGATACTAGAAATTAGCAAAATAACATAATAAATTAACCCACTAGCCTTTTTAAAACTCTGAAAAGATACTCGTATTATATCATTATGTACTATCATTTTTAATTTAGAATAACGTTAAATTGCATTTTAACAATGCTTGTGAACAAACATAAATGAATATTTGGCTAATTAACAACTAAAATGTTCATATAATTATTAATAAAGTTCAAGAATGTGATGGTATTGTTGTTTTGCGAATACATTATACTGCCAATTTAAAAGACATAAGATCTTTCCTTTTTTTATTGTCGTCTGATAGCCTCTCCTTAAAAGTAATTCTGGAAACACTAGCTCTGGGTACCTTTACTCTATGCTGTGTAACGTAACACTGTAGTCAGTGAAAGTAAAATGAAATATAATAGCAACCATCTGCCAAAAATTTTTCAGAGTGTAATAGTAGTATATTATTTATCGATTTGGATAAAGGGAGTCATTTGAAATCAATATATAATATACATAACAGTTTCATACTTTCTGATGTTAGCAAAAATAATCAGTAATGCATAAGTGCTCAAAAGTAAACTAATAAAAAAATTTTCAAAATATTTTAAAATCTATCATTTAAAAGAGGTCTTCGAAACTTGCAAGATTTACATAGTTTTAAATAACAAATGTTATTCGCGTATGCATTTGAATCTGTCAGTTTACAAAGAAAATTTTAAAAAAAAATATTTTTGGTAATTTACGGTTTTCATGTGTAGAGTAGGACTGTATTTAGATCACAATTCATTATGATGAATTTCTATAATGAATGAGATGACCGATTTTGATGGAATACCTTTAACAAACTTCAGTGGAAATTTAACTGGAGGTGGTGTGATGAATGTAAGTTTCCTAAAGAATCCCACTCATGTTGTGTAAATAATTCCAAGAAACTGATAACATAGTCAGCAACCTAAGATCTCTCAAGAGCAGCGATGCCTCTTCAAGACCGTGAGATAACCGTGAGTTACGTGTATGATACCGTATAGAGATTGCAGCATTCTCTTGAGCCTGCAACTGTCTATGGGAAAAAGTTACTCGCCATTCTGTTTATAAAGGCTATTATCTGTTTATAAGGGCTAGCTTTAAGCATGACGACCAGTAAGCGCTCACATCAGTAGTGCTCGTTTTCCCTGGTGTCCTGAAAAATCTCCCCTTGATACAACAGAAATATGCTCTTGTAATTTGATCGTGTGAGTCGAGATGTGATAAATATAAACGCTAGCATGTGATAGCGTGAAGCATTTAAGCATGAAGACCAGAAAGCGCCCACATCAGTAGTGCTCGTTTTCACAGGTGTCCTAATAATCTCTACTTGATACAACAGAAATATGCTCTTTTAATTTGATCTGGTGAGTCGAGATGTGATTAATAAAAGCATTCTTGACGAATTGTATCCGGTAAGACCATGGGACTGACAATCATCTCCCCAATATTAGGGAAAGCAACTGATATAATAGAACAGAAATATTATTGTTGTATTGTATGCTAGACGATCATACGTCACTGGTATGTTTAGTGGAGGAACTGTTACTCGGCAAGCTAAAAGGATGATGTGTTGCATTCCTGTGTGAAGCTTTCTGGAGTTCTGTTAAATCGCATTTCATTTTTCATTGAATACATCACTACGCACACAAAGCTCAACTAATGCTGGACTTTCATTAGCTGAAGTAGCTAACAGAACTTTCTGCACCTAATTAAGTATCACGTATCAAATACTTAGCATAACATCAGCAATAATCATCAAATCAGTTAGATACAAGCATGGCTCATCTTATTCCCATGCCTTTCTATGAGTTATTATCCACTCTTGCATTTTAATGGGAACTGTAGCCACAAAAGTTTCTCAACAAAATTTTCAATTGCACTTTTTTGGAAAAACATAGCTTTTTGGAAAAACACTATATTCACTTACTATTAAGGCGTTGTTTTTTAGTTTTTCAGATTTACACATACTTTTTTATCGAATTTTGTTATCATTCATTTCTATTTTGTGCTACTACACGAATACGTTTTTATTTTGTTTTGCTATATTAATTTCTTTTTTATTTTGGTTTGCTACGTTAAATAACTCTGTATCAAATTCCATTAAAATTTCGGTCTACTTTTCGAAATATGTCTTTTTTTTTTGTTGCTGTTGTTACCTTAATTCTGATTACCAGTTTATTAATGTGTTCCATGTTCTGTTTCTTCTCAGAAATACTTTTATTATTATTTGCAAACAGGATTTTGAATTTTTGTAAAATTTATTGTTTTATTAAATTATATAACAACCGAAAGGCTAAAGGCGCTTGTGGTAACGTAATGTAACTTGAAAATGTAATTCTTCTCTAACGCTTCTAAGTACAAAGTGTCGTTTGTATCAAAAATAAATCCTAACTCTCAACATAATAAAATTATGTAACAGCAGTCTCATGAAAGCTTCTTATTTTCCTTTAGTTTTTATTTAAACAGTAAAGCTTCATTTTATTAGATATCTACAATGCTTACTAGTTTTAATTTAAATACTAAATGAAATATATTTTTGACTTCTAACTGATTTATATTTCAACATATGGTGATTCAAAAATTAGTAAACTTTGTACAGCCTATTCAATTTATGTATCATTATACATCTCCGGTTAGATACTACTTCCCAATATGAAAAGCAGTTCGAATTCTAACATTTAATAGACTCAAAATTTCAAAAGACAGAATTTGAATAATCAATCTAAAATTTCTTTTTAATTATTAATTAGTACCTGATCTTTTACTTCCGTCACTAATCCTTCTTTTCTCCAGTCAACAGCAGTTGGATATCTCACATGCGAAGGCTCCACAAAATAAGATAGTACCTTCGTTTGATTGCTTATTTTCAGTCCATTTCTTATATTGAATTCTTTAGCGGCCTGTTCAAAATAAAATATTACATCATCAGCATTAAAGTCAGCTGAATAAATCTTCATTAAAACTTAAGTGTTACTGAACTGAAATTTTTGTTTTTTTAACTTCAGAAATTTAAAAAAAAAACATCAATCATTTTAAATGCAACTGTTGATTATTAATTAATAGTCACTCTTATAATTATCTGAACTTTTAACTGCAAATAAATAAAAAGTGTTACCAAATGGTACTATAGTTTTATTTTTCATGAAGCGCATGTAGTATTTAAAAAAGGCAAGAGTGTTGTACAGTAATATGAAATATTTTTCTGGTATAAACTCCTCTTACGCGTTGTAAAGAAGATGCTGTTAACGCATAATAATATAAAAACCATGAAATTCTTACTAGGTCTGTGAAATTGGAGATTCCGAGCTTGAAGTCATACTTCTTCAAATCAGCCTCTAAATTATGTAGTTGTATTTTAGCCACATTAGCTTCCCAAATAAAACGTCGAATTGGTTCTTCATAAGAGTTGTATTTCTTCTTGAAAACATCCTAAAAATCAATTGAGAAGTAACTTAAATGGGAGGCGAAATAGTACAAAATATTGTTTTAATCGCTTCTTTTAACTAAAAATTCAGAAATTTTATAACATAGCAATATAAATATATAATTTTATTCTATGTTAGTATATATGATACATTGACTGTTAGTATATACGATACAGTGACCCTTTTACACTCGGGGCAGCCGAGTGGTAAAGACGCTGAACACTGGTAGTTCGGTCCGAGGTTCGAATCCCGCGAACGGGCTGGCTTCATTGGCTTTTTCGTGGTTTTCCCCATGTGTAACATGTATACGAGCCAGTTTCCCTTAGAAAGTCCTCCCCAAAGGCATCCATCCCTTTAGGCAGATAGCCCTCGTGTGCTTTGCCATAACTGAATAATCCACTTTCCGGATTGTATAAACAGTTGCTCAACATAAAATGCTTTACCAATTACACTATAAATAAAATTAAACAAAAGAACTATTTTGTTTTTACGTAAAATGAAATATATTACACTTTTTGCTTAGCTAAAATTAAACTGAATATTGGTCATGTTTGTTTCGTCTGATTTTCAAGAACAGCGTTATTATGACTAAAAAATTTAGTTCTGTATACGGTGCGTAATAACGTTTATGTTGATATTTATAAACCATATACTTTCCACACGATATGTTATATTGAGCGTAAGAAAATATGTATATTAGAGATATGTGATGACGAAATGAGGAAAATATGTAGGACTTGCTTATTCACTTACAATAAACTATTTTCTTGAATCCAAAAACATACGATGCACATACGTTAAATTAATTTAATAGTTCATTAAAATACTTGAAAATTTTGTGTTTCCGAAATCAGCGGGAAAATTAAAAGCTCGTAAATAAATTAACAGCAAGCTTAAATTTACATGGCCTTGGAAGAAGAACGAGTTATCTAAATAACTGAAATAACCAAAGAGTGGGCGGCCGGCTTACTAACTCTGGATAATTAGAATTCTACTGTATACACAGAATTAAAATTATTCGCAAGCTATAATAAAACTTATTTTGTCTTCCTAAGCTTTCGACTCGGCATGAAACAGAATATCATAACATTTTATAAAGTTACACTGCATCTAATACTGGAACTTTAGTCCTGTAATCCTAACATACATGTAGCAAGTTATCGCTATGTATGAGATAGTTCGACAAAGACTGGCCCAATAATTTAACATCACTCAGTTTAAAATATCTGCGACGAGATAACGCAAAACCGAGATAGTTACAACTAGGTAGAGCTGGCAGAATCTCATTACGCAGCACGCATGCCATAAGCACTCTGTCTCCTGCAAAACCCTCAGCTTAAATACGCAACCAATTATTTTGCATTCTGGGTAGGGAACGCTGAAAGGAGTTAAAGTAAAGATCCAAATCATAATAACTGGTTAGTTTAAAATAAGATTTAATTAACATTAAGAAAACAATTTAATTAACGTTAGAGTCGCTGAACACTGGTAGTTCGGTCCGAGGTTCGAATCCCGCGAACGGGCTGGCTGCATGGGCGTTTGCATCGTTTTCCCCATGTGTAACGTGTATACGAGCCAGTTTCCCTTAGAAAGTCCTATACGAAGGCATCCCTTCCCTTAGGCAGATAGCCCTCGAGGCTTTGCCATAATTACACAAACAAAATAAAAGCAAATAATTAACATTAGGAAGATTTTTAAAGTGTGTTTAGCTAGTATTAAAAAATACTTGCACTTGTTTCAATTTTGCATTTCAAAATTAAACAAGTCATCAAAATTCATAAAAACCAATTATCAAATTGTATACATAGCAAATCATGAGTCAAATAAAATAGTTAATAAATCATATGTCATGTTACTAAATCATTATGCCTATTTTCAAGACAAAAAATATTAAAACGTTATCCTGTTGAACAGTGTATTTTATGCTTACCTTATAGGTTTCCCATAATTTGTCGTAATCTGGTTGGAAAGAAGCAGCAAGAGTCGTTGTAAAATACGCCAGAATTAAGGCAATGCGAATCATCTAAAACGTATAAAAAAGTAATTAACGTAAAGAAATTAATGCGTTTGTTAATCATTTAGGAAGATTTCATAGGCGTAGTCAAGTTAGATGGACCTATTGCCTACGTAAAATGCACACAGATTATCAGCGGATGTAAGACAAACAGACATCTATATATAAAACAGATACATTACTCCTATTAGTAGACATTTGTCGGTAGTTGAGAGATAAACAAAGAGTTAAACTTTTAGGTTAACTCACGAATTCCTGAAAAACTTACAGTTCACATGAAGCATTTTGTGTTGTTATTCTAGTATACTATAAATATATTCCACTTTTATTTCGATAGAAAAGTATTCCTTCCAAAAGCAAAAGGCTGTTATTGGTTTTGTCAATAGTCATTTCATTAACTCATCCTAGTAGGAAACACTTGAAATTTCATGAACAGATTTCTTTCTACCCAAAGAATCAGTAAATACTTATTCCTTTGATTATCTTTGTCCAGTATTGAAACTTATATTATTGCTTATTTTGTGTTCATCAGTAAATGAAAATGTCTGTTATAACGCTAGTAATATACCTAACATAAATATATGAACAAAATCGAAACGAATAATGCTTCTCTAAAACATAATAATTGTTGAATTTTATCATCTTCAAATTAATAAAATTTTTGCATAAATTGCCTTAAATCTATTTTAAATCGCTATTTTTTAATAATATGTTTGTTTGCATAATTTTAACTAACGCAATCCAATCAAAATGTTCCAATTAAAATGACCTAATGTTTTGAAACAGAGTTTAGATAGGGAGGGAAAAGGGTTGCCTTAAAACTTGATATATAATTTTACAAATTACTCTATATCAGACTATAAGAATTTAAACATGCAATACGTTTAGCGAATGCGTTTTCGCTAAAGACATTGATATGTCTTTACAAAAAAGAAAATTAAGTCCTCGAAATTTTTACTTAAACTGAATTTTCACCTGAAGCATTTTTACTCGAGAAATTCAAAGATCAAAAGTATATATATATATATAGAAGTCAGTAGGCAATCTAAGAACTTTACGCAAATCTTACCTCGATTAAGTCACTGTAGAAGGAACACTATACTGTCTTTAAATGCTCAAATGAGCAGTAAATCTATGTTTAGGAGGTGATATTTGTTCCTTATATACGCACAGCTTTCAACACACAAAGCAGTGTGCAGAAAGTCACATGAAGGGAAATTTCCAATCTTACTACTAAGAGAAAGATTATGTTAGATAAAGTGTCTTATTTAAAGAGGAGTCATTCTTGTAAAAATAACATTAACAGTTCAGGGATTTTTGGCTAGTCAGAGTTTATTTGAACATGATAAGGTGGCACGAATAGAGGATACTTACTGCATCTGAAATTAATAAATATGAATTAAATTGAGTTAACCTTCATTAATGTATAGTTTTAAAGCTTTCTAAAAGCTTTTTAAAATAATGAGTACTTTACATGAAAAGCTATGAAATTATAGCTCTTACTAACTTCTTAAAATAAAACGTAAAATGCTTGGCTAATGCAAATCGAACATTTCGGAAAGCATTTGAACATTAAATTAAGTAAAAATACAAAACTAGGTACTAGGGTTTACATAAACTAGTATTTTTGCCTAGTTACAAAATAAACTAAATTTAAAAACATGAGCATTAGTTTAGAATCCCGTCTTCTTGTAAATTTTTAACTATTCTTTGCAAAATAAATACCGAAGATACATGTTTAACGTTTATTTAATAAACAGTTTAACTAAACTTCTGATTTTAAATTTATTTTATGAGCAATTCAACGAAAATTATAATTTAAAATTAATTTTATAAGCAGTTTATCTAAATTTAAGGGAAAACTATTTCCATACTAAATATAACTGTTAAAAAAATTCATATAACCGCAAAGGGAAAAAAAAAATCTGGAATAAAAAATATATGTGTATAAATTATTATTATTTAATTTACGGTTTATTTTCACTTACTGTTATTTTTATTTTAATTAGACATAATTTAAAATAAAATTTATTTATTTTATTTAAATTAGACATAACACTATTATTTTATTATTTTAAATTAGACATAATTTAAAATAAAAAACACGCTGTTTTAAATAAACGCAGTAAATAGTGTAAAATAACTTCTGATAATTGTAATATCATTAGTCATATATAACTAAAAACAAAATTTAAAATAGCTTATTTTAAATGAAATTATTAAAGAGAAATTTAGTGAAAAAAGTGCAATCACTCTTAGATTTTTTATTTCTGTTGTAATCTTCTATTGTTCCTTGAAATTCCATTAATGTCTGAACAAAATTCTTGTATTTTCGCCCCACATTGTTGCACATGAAAAAGAAATTTTGATGCAAAAAAAAAAAAAAAAAAAATTATTTTTCACTTTTATAATGTTTAATTAAAATTGTGCTATTTATATAGAATTTATATAACTAATTTTATATATTTTAATGGAAAAGGGAGAAAAATTGTTTCATCGGAATGTGGAAAAATTAATCCTTATAATCAGTGTAGCGTAGAAGTGCGTAGATAAGTGCGTGTTCTTAAGATTAGACTTACATATTCGTACTTAGTTGCATCTTCAGATAGTTCTCTGGCTAACATATTGGAGATTTCGGTAGGTAAAACACCCAAAAGATTAGCCACCCAATCTTTCTTTGGAACCTGAGCCCTTTCAGCTTTTCTCTCAAAATTTTCAAATATAGTCCCACTTCACTCCTTTTTTCATAAAATTTTGGAGTAATTTGTGACAACTGGATTTTGTTGCTCGATTCTACTGTATTCGATGTTGATTCTCTAGCTCGTATTACTTGATTTTCAAATTCAAGCCGTATTATTTCAAATTCATATGCTTTGCATCCCGAGCCAGACGTTCTTGTGTCGCTTCCTGAGCCAGTCGTTCTTGTCTCGCTTCCTGAGCCAGACGTGCTTCTTTCGCTTCCTGAGCAAGACTTTCATCAATTACACGGTTTAGAATTAATTTAACTTCTTCCTCGTTGTGAATTCGACTTTCAGTGATTATTTTTTAAATTTTTGTGACCTTACTAGTTTCCAGCTCTTCCTCACCTAATTCTTCGGCTACTTCTATTAAATCTTGTTTTCTACCATTGGCAAGAAATTACATTTTTAGAAACAGAAAAACTGTTGGACAGAGTTTCAAAATTAATTTTAAAGGGCTTTTAGCCAATATTCAAAAATTAAAATCAACTTGTTGGCCTTTTTTTATTAGAATTTCAAATATGACACAACTTTTTTTTCTTAAACTCTTAATGCAATAAAACACATGTGCTTTCCGTTAAAAAAATCTGCGAAGCTTCCTCTTAATAAATTATACTAAAGTAAATAAAAAAAATCGAGCATCTAACTTGATTCATACAACAAAATTCTTGATTTGGGATTTTAATACAAGAGCTCAAATTTAAGAAACGAATGAAATTTGAGTTTCATTACGAAACTGTAATGAAATTTACAATACTGTAATGAAATTTGCTCAAATTTCATTACGAAACTGTAATGAAATTTGAGCTCTTGTATTAGAATGGCAAATTTATTACGTTAATATTATATATCAGAAATATTATAATATTAATGTAATAAATTTGCCATTCTAATGCAAGAGCTCAAATTTCATTACAGAAATATTCTAATACAAACGAGATAAATTTGCCACTCTAATACAAGAGCTCAAATTTTAAAAGAACATCCTAAGCAGGCTAAATATTTTGACGCTTTAATCCAAAAGCTTAAACTTAGAATATCGTTCTATCTGTTGAATTCAATAATAAGATGAAACATTTTCATATAAAATAGCACAGTATTCATAAAAAATTATAACTCACACGTACAGGTATTTCTTTTGATTTTAAATAAACACTGATTTCACCTTTCAATCCCAGCGACTACCACCAGATATTTATTCTTTTACACGTTTGTAATGAAGTTTTAAAGATATCGCCATTTTTTGATCGAACAACCAACTTTATAACAAAATAACTGAAAAACATTTTAAGCACGTGCATCTTCAAGCACGGATATTTTATGCGCGAGGATTCTTTACATTTCTTGCTGGTATTATGTTGGTAGCGTGGCAACGCAAATACGTTACACAACGAGGTATGTGGTCTTATGCCATAATACCGAAGGGACACCTTCTGAAATACATTGCATCTCCTTTTATTTTGTAAGATTGTTATGTTAATTAAGCAGTTATTGTGATTCCGATTCTTTACTTCTTCTTTCCGTATTCCAACCCAGAATGCAAATTAGTTTCAGGTGTATTGAAGCTGATGTTTTTGGATCTGAGACAGAGAGAGTTTCTGGCTCTGTTAGATTTTTGCCACTTCTATCTGAAAGGTATTATCTAGGCTTTTGTATTCTTTCGCAGCCGATTGCTTCGAACTTACGCGCCGGTTAATGTTAGTTGAACAAGCTTATAATAGCTGAGTTTATTTCCTGTGTAGTCTTAGACTACTTTTAACAACGTTTACATTTAAGCATCTGTTACTGATTAAATTGGCTTATTTGTAGCGCAAGTTGGACTTTTTTTTTCTGTTCAAAGTTAACTTTAATAAAAGGGATGTTTTAATCTTTGCAAGTCTCTGTCATATAATATTTCAGACCTAGCGATAACTCCCAAATTGTCTAGAAGGGTTGTGGGGCTCAAATTCAAGTATCAGCTCAACTGCAACCTTACAGTTAAAAACATTAACCGGAAAGTACTGACGAAAATTCTTATAATATACAGGTATCGTAGAGCTAATTCGCCATTTTATGACTCATGTTATATGATTGACAGTATAGAACATGCAATTATTCACTGCAGAAAGTACGATAGTGCCAGAAACATTATGCTCAAGAAGATATTGCAATATTGCAATATTGACCTCTTAGCTGATCTTTTAAATCATTGTAATAAGAAACCTTGGAGATATTATTTCCTAGGCAAATTTTTCATCAAATACATCCTAAAGAATTCTTAAGTACTATTAGTGTAAGGGTTTGGTTTTCGGACGGACGTTCCCCCCTGAATTGGAGGGAATGCGTCCTTGTGGTTTAACTTGTAAATAACATTATATTTGAGTTGGAGCGTAAGGCGTCAAAGGGAAGCCAAGCTTCAAGAAGAAGAACATTAATATCAGTCTAATATAAAGTGAGAATTGAAATAGGTTATTTCTGTAGCTAATCATTGCTTCTATGGTATGGTAATTTTTCTATTCCTATATTCATCTTAATCGCAGAAGAAGCAGAAGAATCTGAAATCCCAGAAGAGCATAATGCAAAATTTCATAGTCTCTATGGAACTTTATGTTATTTCTGCATTTCAAATTCAACTGAAATCGGCCAACAAGCATGATGGTAGGAAAGGCGATTGCTATAGTCATCTGCCCGGATTCGAATTCCGGGAAAGGTATGAATGATTGTAAAGGGCATATCTTTGCAACATGCGAGCACTTAAAGCGATGTCAAGCCGAAAATTCTCTCGAATGACTGGTGGAAAGAGAAAAGGAGTGGAAGATCCTCGTGAGTTTCTCGTTAAAAACTGGGACACAACTGCAAAAATTCTTACTGTCACCTATACGTTACCAAAGACCTAAACCAACAACAAGGAGTAAAGTTTGCTTGTTGTTTATGATAAAATTCGTGGGCTTGTTATGATGCTACTGTCAGCCAAGTGAAACAAGTCACAACGACAGGCAAAACTCACATATTCTACTGATAGATACATTAAATCAGAAGTAAAAAATGTAGCCTAAATATGAAATTTGTAAAAGGAAATGAACAACTAAATATTAAACATATTCTTTGGAAAAGAAGAGAATAAAATGTTACGTACATAACAACAAAATTAGAAAAATCAGCTTTTAACATTAAATGCAAAGAATCATGATATAAACTTATAAAATGACAAAGTGTAGGTCGTCAGAAAATAATCTAAAACTCCAATCAATTTCTAATTCTACTGAATGTTACACTACAGCAGAAATAAAAAATACGTCAAGATAAAATAAAATTAATAAAACGAAATGAAACCCAAATGCAAAATCTAGTTTGAGGGGTTCGAAAGGAATTTAGTACAATAATAAAATTAAGAAATAAAATGAAACTGTGACAAAAATCGCTTGTGAAAGGGCCTTTTCCATTAGATACCAACACGTGATATCTAAAGCAAAAAGGAACTTTCCCTCTGTTTACAATCCTAACGCTGCGTATTTGAAAAACAAAATGTAGAAAAAATTATTTTTTACCATTTCTTTTTTTTTAAAGAGGGCGAAGAGTTTATTTTATAACATGTGAAAGTTTCAAAAATTTACTATGTATACATTTTGTGAGATTGAAATTTGGAGACATCTACTTTATAACTTAGGTAACCATGGATGATCTGAGGTCTATGTTCATTAATCTAACTATCTACCAATATTTACACAGTAATATAGCACGCAGTATGTAGTGCTAACGCAAAATACATTCATATATGTCAGTTCTTATCATATATGTCAGAAATGTACACATGAATCTGAAAGTATAATTTTATACGTGAAGCAACATGTACGAATGAAAAGTATGTAACATTCAGTTGAATAAAGGAATAGCGTTGAACAAATATTAATTCTAAATGAATTCTTAGAACAAATATTAATTCTAAATGAATTAACTTCTGAGGAGCTAAAAATTCCATATGAACGGATATCAATTTATTGGAATACATCACTGCAGCTTAGGATGATTTACAAATCTGTATTCATAATAAATTTAACTTTTGTAACATTTTCCAACCTTATAGGCAGAGTTAGTCTTGAGCCCATGCATAACTATACGCTATAGTGTTTAGTGTTCTTTAGTAGTATAAACTAAATCCGAACTCCATGCAGGCGTAGAGCGAATTATCGCTGTTCCTGAAAAGAACTGTAAAGTACTCAAGCTCGGCAAACCTTTTTATTAAATCAGAGCTGAAACATTAATGCACGTCTTGTGCTTGACAAAGTCAGCCAGCCACTTAAGGGGATATAATTTAAAGTAACAAGTGACAGGCGAGGGCAATTTCTGACACCCGGGTACCTTCCTAAGGTACCACCTGGGTACTTTCCTTTAGGCTAATCGAGTACTGTCCGTTTCCCGCAATTATCTAAAGTACACACCAAAATCGAGACATTACAAGGCCGTACAAGAGCAAAGCATTAGTTATTAAGCTGCGTGTGTTGCGTAAAGTACATAAAATTTTCTAAGCACTAAAAACTTCCTAAGACATACGGCACTGCTTACGACTGCATAGTATTATCCCATAAACCCATTAATACATATATTACTGTTACCCTAAACGCTAAAAACGTGCAGAAAAATAACTTTAAAACTAAAAACTTTTCCGCATTGCACATTCGTTCTGTGGTTTTCTCCATGTGCAACGTGTATACGAGCCAGTTTCCTTTAGAAAGTGCTCCACGAAGGCATCCGTCTCCTTAGGCAGATAGCCCTAATGTGTTAATCTCAATAAATCAAACCAAACCTTACAGTCGGAAACTGGAAAATCCCCAAAATTTGTTCTGGTAGTGATATCAAATTTAAGTTTCTTTGAAAGCTTCGAAGAAAAAGATGCTATTACTTCAGAG